TGACACTATTCCCAATAGTTAAGCTAAGAAACAGTCCAGATGGTCTTCAATACATGAATGGGCAAATAAAATGTGATATATTCCCAGTGGGGTTTTACTCATCTTTAAAGAAGATTGAAATTATACCATTTGCAAGAAAATGGATTGAACTGAACATAATCGTATTAGCTGAAATAGTGACTCTTAAAAAAAAAAAAACCCAAGAATCACATTTAATATCATTTAGAAGCTAGTTAAAAGAGAAAAAGCATGGAAGTAAAAGGGAGGACTCTATGTATGTGGAAGGGAACAGGAGGAGTAGGAAGGGATAACAAGAAGGATGGGAAAAATATGCATGCATTAATAATAAAGCCCATTCCTGTTTATAGCTAAGATATGTTGGTGAGATAATTGCAAATTTAATAATTTCCATAGATTCATCCCACATACCCTTTCTTATGAGTTTCTGGCAAGGTTTGTTCAGTGAAGCCAGTATAGGTATTGTAGGTTGCAACTGATGGGAAATCTAAAGAAACTACAGTGGTTGACTATCAGGATATAGAGATTTGGGGGAGGGGAAGTGAGATCAAAATTACAAGTAATCATGCAAATACAACAAGCCTTAAAAACATCAACATCATTGTGGTCAATGTTTACTTTGTTTAAAACAAAGGAACCCCTATGGGTTTTGATTTTCAATTCTGAGTGTGGAATTATAATCCCTTTTTAGAAGCGACACGTTAGGAAGTGGAAATGAAGGAGGAAGTTTGTAACTTTTGATCTATCCTCTTGAAGGAGTAAATAAAGGTAGATTGTTAAGGAATTTTACAGAAGAAATCAAGGGAAGAATTAAACACTGTTGTTGTATTTATAGAGTATAACAGGAGATTTCAGATGTGGAAGATCGAAGCAAACAATTTATGGCAATAAATCTATAAATAATGCCCGATTTAGTTCATATGAGAAATAGAAGCAAACATTGATAAGGGGTAGGTGTAAAACAGTTCTAAACACAGAAGACTTTTGGGATTGAGGATGGGCTACCATGGTTAATAATAAATGCTCTTGCTATCTGACACTGAGTAAGTTTCAAAAATGATATATTACTATAACTAACACAAACATCGATAGTCTTTTATTTTTGAAATTTGTGAACCTATGTAAAGCTTTGTACATTCAGTTGATTTCATGCTTCAGATACCACTACCTGTCTTCTTCAACGAGTGCTTTTTGTTGGCCATCCAACATGCCAGTGATACTTCCATGTATTTTGACAAACCTTGAAACGTGTGGGGGAAACCAGCAGAGTGATCTCTCAGCTCTTTTAAGTGTTATATTCTATCAAAGATGGTTGCATAATTTCTAAACTCATGTCTACTGCCTTCCACTACTTTTTTTCTACTATCTAATTATTGACTGCCGTCCCTTGAACTCTAGATTCTGTTACTTGTGGTTTTTTTAAATCCTTTCAAAGTTATACAGTTATTATCCATATCTTTAACTTGAACCACTTCCCTATCTCAGCTGCTTTTAAAATGCCACTTCTGCTCTTTGCCAGCTTTCTCCTCAGTTGACACATCATCCCTTGGTCCCTTAGTCACCAATGACGTGTATATTTCCTTCTCTGAGTGCCTGACCTACATATAAACATGGCCATGTGCCATCAGCCACTTAAACTTAGCTTTCCAAAGACTGAATTTATTTTTTCCTTGCTTGCACTCAGATATGCTTCTTCGTGTCCTAAGATAACCTGGTACTTGACATAAAGAAGGGACTTGGAAATTTAGTGTTTCTTAAACTTCAAACTCCTGTGTCCTAAATGTAAACTTCTGCGTTAGAAGATCTGGGTAGAGGGTACAGATACATAGTTCTAATATTTTTCTAATTGCTAGTGGTGTTTGATGATGTTTTAGCTAGTAATACAGTACAGTGGAGACAGATCATTGGGTAATAGCTTCTACCCTACAAGCGTAAAGACCCAAGTTTGAATTCCTAGCTCTGGTATAACAATACAGGCATGTGATATAATTCCAACCTTAAGGGAGATAGGTAGATAAACATGCACCTGCGTGCATGTGTGTGTGAGTAGTGTGTGTTTGTGTTTGTGTGTGTGGTGTGTGTGTGTTTGTGTGTGTGTGTTTGTGTGTTTCTCTGTGTGTGTCTGAGAGAGAGAGAGAGAGAGAGAGAGAGAGAGAGAGAGAGAAAGAGAGAGAGAGAGAGTATGTGAACAGTCTGTTTCCCAGATAAATCATTTCACAATTGTTAGATAAATAATTGCTAGGCAAAGCATATTATTAAAATAAGTAATATGCACTAAAAAAATCAAACTTAACTCAGTATGAGTGAGCTACAATGAGTATCTGTATAATGTTGGATTAATAAAATAATAAGAAATCATTCAACTGAATACCAGCTTAAGTTAATAATCTGATGTGCATAAAAAACTGACTTTTGAGAAGAAATGTAACTATATTCAACCAAGACATTTTTCCAGAAATAAAGATAGATTCTATTATAGCTACCTACCTAAATAATCTTTGCATAAGTGTCTGATAGAGAAGTCACTGAGATTACTGTGGCTCAGCGGTGTGGAGGATGACCTGGAATGAATCCATATCTCTGAAGGAAGCTACCAGGCCTTTTTTTCCAACTCTTTTACTCTTTTGCTCTTTGGAAATCTGACACCCAAATAAATCACAGAGTCTTAATCTTTTTTTTTTTTTTTATCTATAAATGCCCAGTCTTAGCTTGGCTTGTTACTAGCCAGCTTTTCTTAACCTAAATTATCCCAACTAGCTTTTGCCTCTGGGCTTACATCTTCTCTATTTCTGTAAGCTTTCTTTACTTCTTTCTCTGTGGTTTGCTGTGTAGCTAGGGGACCGGGTCCTGTTGTCCTCCTCTCCTTGTTCTATCTTGCTCCTTCTTCTTCCCTCCTCCCAGATTTTCCTCCTGTTTATTCTCTCTGCCTATCAGCCCCACTTATCCTTTTTCCTGCCTCACTATTGGCTGTTTAGACCTTTATTAGACCATCAGGTGTTTTAGACAGGCAAAGAATCACAGCTTCACAGAGTTAAAAAAAAATCACTATGAAAGAATGCAACACATCTTTGCATCATTTAAACAAATGTTCCAGGCCATAAACAAGCGCAACACCCCTTAAAATCACACTCTACAACACCAGAGCAAATAAATGATTGACTTTTCCATTGAAATGTACCGACTATCCTCAGCTATTGCTCAGTAATACACGATGGCAGTGAAGAACTAACACATAAGATCAAAACCTTATGTCATGTTGCTTCAAAGGGTGGAGGCAGGCATTCAAGTCTCTAGGCCTCAAACACTTCAAACAGGCTTCTTTTTTTAAATGAAGAATACTATAGTTATTTAATGCAAAAAATGTGTCAAAGTGGTGTTTCAGTTCAGGGTAGTAGTTTTTAAAAATGAATCTCTGGATAAACTATAAAAGGATTTTCTTTTATATATAGGAAAGTCTTGAAAAATTGTGGTGACTGATGCTTAACTTTCTCAATCCCTCACCAGTTGCTGGGTCCATAACTATGTACATGGACTAAAAAGACATAGACCTTCTAGTCAGGACTCCATTAACAGAAATAGAGAAAAAATATATCATTTGTGTTTTATTCAATGTAAGAATCATTTCAGTAGCATTATCTATCGAAAAACTAAATTTTTATCATATATCGATTCCATCAGCATTACAATAAAACTAGTTCAGAGCTTTGGAGCCAAATATGGTGGAACCTGCCATTTATCTGAGCACTTGAGGGACAGATGTGAGTTTAAAAGAAGGCTGGTCAGATCCAGTCAGAAAAGCTTCGACCCTGTATCAATAGACAGAGGTGGAAATAGAGATAGAGAGATAGAGATAGAGAGATAGAGTTGAAAATAGATAAATATACAGGCACACACAGACAGATAGATATAGGTAGCAGATAGGGATAGAGGGAGCTATAGATATGGATTGATATAGATGGATGACAGATAGATTGATAGATAGATTATAGATGAACGATGGATAAATATAGATAGATGTAGAAATAGAAAGATAGGAAAATATAGATACCTAGATATAATTCTCAGAGTATAGTAATTTTTGAATATTGTGTTAGGAATACCTAAAGAATACCTCCTGAAGTTTAATGTATATATGATGCAGAGAGTAACTATCTTTAAAGATAAGGCTATGATACCTGTAATTCTTCTATTCCAACTGTTTCTCGGACAAATATCTGTGTTCCTATGTGCCTGTTTGATGAGTTGAGTAGTTATCTTACCAAGATTTAGTATGTGCTTCTGCAAACGTAAAAGACACTTCAGTGAGGACATTACTGAAATTACATCAATCATCAGGCTTTCCCAAAGCCACACCCTACCTAGATTTTATTTAAAAAAATACAAATTAATTAACTAAATGAAATTAAACTTTCAGTTAAACTCTGCTTGTAAAAATTCTATAGAATTAGTCTCCTGATTTTTCCCTCAGGCTGTTGTCTTTGTCACTTAAGAATCTATGGTCTTCAAAGAGCTGTCAAGTTCTTTGCCTCTAGATTCAAGTTTAACAAGGTTCAGATCTTAGTCGGAGCTTTAAGGTGCAAACCCTTTGTGCTAGGAAAAATTATGATTCCTTTTTCAAATGAAGAGTCGAGAGAATCTTGGGTTCTTCCAGAACTCAACTAGTAAAGCATAGAACCCATCCTACCACTTTTTATTCTGGCCACATCATTTCTGTTTCAGAACTACAGTTCTGCATTCTCCCGAGCTCCTCTCCTGCCTTTTTTCTGCATCTCATTCTTTTCAGGATATGGTCAACCACATAACATGCTTTATGCAGTATGACACCCATAAGCACATTAGACCTTGGTTCCCTAGTTTCTGCTTCTACAAGGAATTCCTCTGTTTGTTACAGAGTATTCCAGTGATATTGAATACAATGCAGCAACATATAGGTTGATTTCTAAGATGCCTAACAGTATTTTCTATTTTTCCTTTGTTTATAGTATAAGCAAGTGGAACAATACATGTCATTCCATAAGTTACCAGCTGACATGCGTCAGAAGATACATGACTACTATGAACACCGATACCAAGGCAAGATCTTTGATGAGGAAAATATTCTCAGTGAACTTAATGATCCTCTGAGAGAGGTAAGAATTACTGTTCTTGATCTGCGTGACATATTATTATCATTTATTTCTATCCTTTCTAGGGAGTCTTTTGGTCTCTGTTGTAACTTATTCAAAAGCATAATCAAAACTACATGTGAATACATCAGTTGTTGCCTTTATTTATCTTTTAGTTTCTTCCCTAACAGACTTCCAATTACTTGAAAAGAAATGTCAGAGAATCATTCCTTTCTGACTCTTACTCCATTTAATGTATTCTCGGCTCTCAAAAGTACATTTTGCAACTTCATTGTCCCTATATTCCCAATATTCCATGTTTTTATGCCATGAACCAGACCCGTTCAGTTATTTAGGTTTTAATTTTTTATAGTTTATCTTCACATTTTTTCCTTGCATTTTTCTTTGCTCATCTTTGGCACCTTAATCAGGAGATACTAGCTTGCTTCCAGTAAATCAACTCTTGGTGTCTCGTCAAGATATGTTGAATACCAAAAGGCAGTCTTTACCATGCACCCTCTTCTCATCATTTCCCCAATCCCTCCCCTCTGCTACCTGTCACTTCACTCCTAAACCAAAGTGGATGCTCTTGATTCCTTCATCTAACAGTGCTTTGCTCACGACTTCTTTTACTACCAAAACTCTTATAAATTTTTTGCATAATGGTTACACTGTGGTTGGATCACCAAGTATTTACTACAACGTGTACTCCTTGAAAGTTATCAAAGCCCTACTGATAATGAATTCTCCATCTCTGCCTTGTTGAGAGTGCTTTGCTACATTCCTAACCAAGACTTAAACCCTGACTCCCCTACTGGTCAATCTTTATACAGAAGCCTTAACTGAAGCTTTGGGGTTTCATTCCCTGCCTCTGAACTTGTTTTCTTTCATTTATTTTATCACACATTTTTAGCCTAGGCATTTTAATTCAAATTCTTTTCGTAAATTTCATTTTCTTAAAAGCTTTATGATCTCCCCTGGCACCCTGAAAGTTATGTAATGAAGTCATTATCTTCTGTCAGTAAAATACTCAATTCTTGAAATCTTTCTGAAATTTTTAGTTATTCTTTCAGGTCACTTTGAATGTAAAATTTAAGTTCTTATTTTAGATCTTCTTCATTTCAACATGTGCTCTGCACATCCTATCTCTGATTTACATTCATAATACATTTCACATGCGTGCCTCCCTCTCTTCTCTACTGCCACCGCCTGAAGTTTTTACTTTTTAGTTTCCTCTAGGCTTGAGTTACAGACTGACTAATTTTTTTATGTACATGGGCTCTCATTTCTCTGCCCAGAAAAAAAAATTGGTTGTTCGGTTATGAATTCAATCTTTCTGCACTCCAATGCCAGCTATCTTGACAGTTTTCATTTCTGCTTTCATCTTGCAAAATGATCTGCAACAAAGGTGGACAACTTGCTGTCTTGCAACAACAATTATAATAATGTCTTACTCTACATAGAAATGGACTTTTACCTTTTGACAGTCTAGTACAAGCGATACTTTATCACTTCCATCTTTCATATAAGGCTAAGTCTAGTACTTCTTTCCCATGAACCCAAGAGCACTTAGTTTTTAATCTTTGTCAACTACTTTCCTATTGCTTTGCACTTTTTATCCACCTTTGCCTTGAAATTTCTTTGACCATAAGGATGCTGTGGTCTATATTTTAGGTTTTTTTTCCTTTCTTAAAATTCTTCACACATTTAACAAAAATTATACAACATAAATATTTTCATTTCTACTTTTCTCTTTTAAAGCCATCTCGACACTGCAGTTGTTACATCCTCTAAAATTTATTTGTATTGTGAAAAGCTATAAAATGTGTGAAAGGGATCTAAAAATAAAAATATCAGCTATAATATTGTTATAACTTGTTTTTCCCACATTTTAATAGAGTTAGAATGTATAATTCTTTAGAATATAACTCAAACAAATTTTGTACTTTTACTTTTTAAGAAAAGCGCTTTATTTTGTTTCTTAAACTGTCAGTTTTCATTGTTTGCTGGAAAACTTTCCTTTTACTTTTTTTTCATATCCAAATTTCAATACAATTGAGTCGGTTTAGGTTTTCAAGGGTCTGGAGAAGTGCAGTAATAGCCTTCTCTTTGACTTTTCATTGACAGCTTAAACATAGCTTGCAATCGACTGCCATGTTGATTACATGTTGATGTGACACCGGATGGATGGTGTCACACTTTTCTAAGAAATTGAACATGAATTCCACCCCCAGAAGGAAGTACAGCCTTCTTAACATGTCAAGGAGACTACGGCAATGTTTCTCAACCATCCTAACACCATGACACTTAAACGCAGTTCCTTGAGCTGTGGTGACCCCCAACCGTAAAATTATTTCATTGCTCCTTCATAGCTACAATTTTGCTATTGTTGTAAATTATAAGTAAATATGTGATATGTAGGCTTTCTGGAATGGTACCCCAAGAGGGGTTGTGAGCCATAGGTTGAAAACCACTGTTTTATGGGCCATTTTCATATTTGTATATTTATGCCGATTTTTCACCGTTAAGAAATTATCAATGATTTCCACTTTAAAATTTTGAATTACCTCTTTCTTTTTTTCATGCTGTCTACGCCTCAATCTTTTCTATTCATCTTAGTTTTACTTCATTTGGTCACTCTTATCAGACATTCCATTCTCCATAAATTTTACCATGCCAACTTTGTCTCTGTATAGAGATTACCATTTGTGATTTTCTTGTCTCTTTCATTACTGAAAGCCAAAAGTCAAAAGAGAATAGACTCTGTGTCATAACTACATAATAATACTTGTATCTCTAATTATCAATATTACCAAAACCTCATGTTTTTGGTATGTTTACTGAATGGATGATCTTTATCATAATCATGAGTGCAAACCAGATTCAGAATCATGGCCACTTAATAAAGTTAGGGCTCCTAGAAATAGAAACATTTGCCTCCAATATAAAATGAAAATGTTTTGTTTCTCTGACATTAGGATAATACATAAATCTCTTGTAATGAGTATTAGAAGGATAAGTGGAAGAGAAGTGATGTGGAGAAACAATAACTGTCCTAGTTAGCCTGACATGTCAATTTGACAGACGAGGGTCATCTGAGAGAGAATTGTCTAGATCAGATGATAAGCCCTAGGACATGACTGTTGGCAATTCTTCATCCATTGAAGAATTGTCTAGATCAGATAAGCCCTAGGACATGACTGTTGGCAATTGTCTTAACTGTCAAATGATAAAAGTTGTCCCTGTCCACTGTGGGCAGTCACATCCCTTTGTGAGTACTTTTTAGCACGAGCCTGGGAGTGAGCCAACAAGCAGAATTTCTTCTTGAGGTTCCTGCTTGACTTCCCTGAATGGTGGGCTGTGACTTGAAAGTAGACACCAAAGAAACTCTTTTGCCACTGTGTCACTTGTGGCCAGAGTATTTTATCACAGCTGCAGAAATCAAAGCAGGAAAATAGCATAAGTCTTGACTGAAATAAAATTGGAGTCTAAAAAAATGTCCAAACGCGTTCAATCATAGCAGAAATTAGGTGACTTATCTTTGCTATCTGTTAGAGACTACTTGCTGAAACAAATAATTGGCTCTGCATATTGTTCAAGTCTCAATATTAAAGTGTTAATGTATCAAAGACTCCTTCCCTGAGCAGTTCCTCCAGGTTAGCTCCTGGGTAATTATTCTCCATCACTTACGCTGCTTGCGCATCGTGTGCCTCGCTTTCGCTTAAAGCTTACTTGTGTGTTATCTGTTCTGTCACACAATGGCTTCAGAAAAAAGGTCTTGTCTTTCTTGATCTCCGCACCATTCCCAGTCCTACATATATTAACTAATTTTTAGATAGATAAGTTAAGGGTAGATAACTATAGATCACACACCTGTCAGCTCATCTCAGAGAATCATTGGTTATCAGTGTAGCTGGAGATTTTTGTCTATAAAAGAGTGGTGATTGGAGGAATGAGAACAGCAGTTCTTGGCACGGCGAGCTTCATTCTTGCAGCTTAGTATCATTTTTTTTTTCATTTGACTCTGGCCAATATACTTTTCCTTCCTGTTTGCACAAATATACTGTCGTCTTTGTATTTATTTGTAACATGTGCAGTGTGTGCCAACTAGTTCTGCTTCATATGCATCCATTTTATAAGGTAACTTTCTATGTGCTATGGGGTTAGTTGTTTAACAAGAAGTTAAGGAATAGGGGTAGGGAGTGACTGTCAGTGGGGCAAATTATGGAAAGTATTTGAGTATTCTTTCTGCTCACTATAACCCAGTAGCATTCATGGAATATATGATAGATGTTATATCACTCCTATACCAAATTCAGATGATGGCAACTGATCATTTGAGTGTTGATTCTACCACAACAGCATCATGTTTGTGGATGTGATCACTATCCTTATTAAAGAAGTCCAATACACTTCTTGTTCTTTCTGTCATATAGGCACATGCTTAAAAGAAGTCTGTGTTTCAGCAAGAGTACCGCAACCAAACACAAACTGCTAGGACTTTAATCTTAGACTTCCCACACTTCAGAGCTTTGTAAATAAATGTATCCTGTTTTTGAGCCAGGAAGTCTGTAATGCTTCTGTCCACAGCTGCCCAAATGAACTGCTGTAATCACCATGCAAAGCTGCACAGAGAATACTCAATGAATCTTCGAGCAATTGCTGCTGCGTGGCTCATCCAAATGCAGGATGACACATCCAGGATGTGGAGATTCATAGAGGAAGAGGTTCTTTCCAGTTCAGCATTGGTTAAGCCTCAGAACCTGAACATGGAGCTCTACTAAAATCTTCCCTGTTTTAGGAAATGAAGTGGTTACAAATTTATCTGAAAAGCTCCCTTCATTTCACTGTGAGCTAACATAGTACGGCTCAAAGTAAAGGAACAAGTGCAATTTCCTAAGGAAAATTCTTTAAGATGATACCTAGAAAATTACTATCTCAAATCAGGAAAGTAATATCGTGATATATTTACCCTTTCTCCTGCTTATAAGCTGGGTGCTTTGTGCCTGTGTCTAGTTAAAATT